TACTAGTCTTACGATACGCGCGTTGCACGTGTATCCTATCTGAGTTATTTTTTGAAAAAATTAATCATATATATTAAAAATTATATTTGAGTGATTTTAAATAAAAGTGTATGTTCCTAAAATTGAGAATATTAATCCTTCGTACCTAATTTATAAGGGAAGAAATTGTCACATAAAAATAAAAATATCANCCTATTTTCATGCACTTGGATTTTGATGTATTTGACTCTAGTTCCTTTTACTCTTAACAATGATTGTAATTCCGTCTTTTAATTAATGCAATTCTCCGATTTAGCAAAAAAAAAACCTTAAAAGGGAATACGACAAATGGCCTACCTCAAGAATATAGGATACTATATTTACTAGCTCTTGTACCTTAAATTAACCTAAGCATTTGGGACATCATGTAAATGTGATCATTTACATTAACCTAAGCATTTGGCAAAATGGTTAAAAGAAAACAGTTAACCATCCATATTATCCATTAAAAAATGGGTTGGATAATGAACTTTTTAAAAACAGATCAAATATGAATAAGAACCATACTATCCAATTAGAAAATGGATAACTAATGGGTAACCAATGGATAACCAATAAGTCTAACTTTTACATTTGTAAAGCTTCAAATTGGGGGTTCCTCAAGTCAGGGAGACTAAGAATTCTCCCAAAAGTAATCATATGCAAGAATCATGGATAATATGGTTAACCATATTATCCGCCGGTTAACTCGTTTTTTATCCATATTAAATATGGATCGGGTCGGATAATTTATCCGTTTTTTCATTACCCGTTTTGACCCGAACCATATCCGATCCGACCCGCCCGTTTGCCACTCCTAGTGATCACCATATTATCCGCCGGTTAACTCGTTTTTTATCCATATTAAATATGGATCGGGTCGGATAATTTATCCGTTTTTTCATTACCCATTTTGACCCGAACCATATCCGATCCGACCCGCCCGTTTGCCACTCCTAGTGATCATTGAAAAGTTACCTCAGCTCCGAATTCTATGTTCTATGTTTTTCAATTGTTTTTGTGCTGTTGGATGTTTTCTTAAGTTTGCTGGATAGTAACCATTTAAGTGATGACATTTTCTTTTGTGATATTCGTGTTTGTCAATTTTTTTAAAAAGATTTTACTGTAAACAAGTCAAATTTCTTGCCTCCAACCTTGAGTAGTAAAGTATCTGCAACTTGCACTAAAAAGGAATAAAAAGAAATTAAAAAAGAGGCAGCTCGGTACACAAAGCATCCTGCATTCATGCAAGGTTCGAGAAAGATCGGGACTGCACCCAAAGAATGTGATATATGGAGTTTACCTTAATACAAACATCAGTAGCTCCCATGATTCGAACTCGTGACCTGCAGACGACTGCAATTATGTTTTTTGTTTTTACAGTAACAAAGAATGCCGATTTGGTCCTTTTGAACAAGGCCTTGATTCTTTGGAAAGTCGGCAGCACATGAAGATGACAGCTTGTTAAAGAAAACAGGGATGAATTGTAGCAGTATCCTATGCATATCCATCTAATGTTGTTTAATGTTTGGCTATTCCTATACAAGAAGATAATATTTTCGTTTCAAAAAGATCAAAGTGGTTCAGAGTTCAAGTGTCANTCATTCATATATGCAGCCTAATTAATTGATTGTGGTTTCTGAATTCTTTCATTTCGTTTTTAAAGAAACACCACCTTAAAATCTTAACAAGCAATCATTGAGTAATTACGTAATTATGTATGTTGTAATTGCTTTTATTGGAGAATAAAATGTTAGTTCATGAATAATACTTGCCAACTTAAGGTTCTCACATGATACAAACTTCTTGGCAAGTTGTTAATTTAAAAAATTCCAGCAATGCCAAGATTTTGCTAATTTACCAAGACTTGGAGTAGCCATTTTTAGTTGACTTTAAGTTCTTAGATATTAGTTAGCATTAAAATACATTTTTACGAAGAAATCTAATTAGTTATATAAATCATAATTACAATTTTGTGTGACATGGAGCATATCAAAGCGCAAAAAGTTAATTAATTTATTATGTATAGGTTTCTTGTTTTTAAAATAATATAATTATAGATAAATATGAAAGTTTTTGGTTGATTAATTTATTTTTAAAAATATTAAATTAAATTGCTAAAAAGTTAATTTGCCAAAAGCTGTAAATTATAAACTCCGTCCAATATTTACTTTTTTATCCTACTTACCATATATCAATATTTTTAAAAATGGGGTCAAAATTATCATTCATGGACGTGCTCTCTTGATCTATGCAAGATAACGTACTATTTATTCATGAATTTCAGTTGACCTAACACATAAAATTTATTAATTCTTTTAGAAAAATAAAGGACTCCTAAACCTAAAAGAAATTGAAAATGAGCGAAATTTCTAATGCGATTTTCATGTGTTATTTATTTTTAAACAAAAATATTAGATTATGCAGTTCAAATAAGAAAGAATTTTAATACATAAATTGAATCTAAAGTCTAAAATATTAGAAAAAATAATTAGATGTTTATTCTTAATATTAAAAAATAATTAAATGACTATTAAATTAACCGAAGTCTGTAAGATGTCTGATATGGAATAAACCAATCCAAATTCAAAGTATGAAACAAAGAATTATATAAAAATTAACAAAATTTTGTAAAATAAAGAGCATATAAATTCAATTACCTTATACTTTAAACTAAAACCATTGTTGAAAGAAAACTTCCAGATGATAGGTTATATAATATATTAATCATGTAACAGATGCCAATAAATATTGTATACAAGTGAAAGACGGGATATAATACAAATTGCTTTGGTATTATGTTTAAAGTTCTAATCAAATAAGTTTGTCAGAATTAGTGAGATCTACAAGTTGAGATGAAATGCAGGCCAGCTTAATTTGGATATATGTTGCGTATTTTTGTGTGAACAATGAGTTGGCAACCAAGTAGTAATATTTTCAATTTTAATTAGATAATATACGTTTCTCTCTACATTTCATTTGTTCGGATTGATTCTAATGTCAATGCTAACTCTTGGGCACTTGCCTCCAACTTCTTAGTAAAACCATACTATGTAAAAACTTTGTTACTTAATTTCCACAAGGAGCCGACTACCAGTAATAAAAGTTAAACTCTGTCATTGGATGCTTAGAACTGTAAATATCCTTTTCTCAACAGCTAATTAAGAAAAGAAACTAAAAAACCTAATACTTAACTAATGGAGTACTTAGTTTCTCCTCCCTTTTTGTGGTTTCCTTTTGGGTTAGGAAATTTGGCTTATATATACTTCAGAGTTAAATGAGAAGGAATTACATACTCTAACAGTTTAAAAAGATTTATATTATCAGTGTACTTTAACTTGTAATAACAGGGCTTACGAGAAGATTATTAATCAATTTTTATCTTGAAAATTTATATATAAATTATCTTATAAATGAATGACTTAATTGTATAAATATTTTTTATACTTTCCGTGCATCAAACTTAAGAGCTAGCTTAACTGTTTCGGCCATATCGTACGTGACATACCTTTGACAAACAATCCCTATCTAAAACTCTAGAAAAAATAAAATAAGATGCAATTTTAAAACCAAAAAAGAAAGAAACTAAAGGCAAAGGGCGAAGAATCGTCAGCTCTACATTCACTTATATATATGCATCAACAAACGCCTCATGAAATAGAAATACATTTCATAAGCATTTGAACAAAGTAATGGAGCTCAACCATTTCCTCTTATTCATCCTTTTCATTGTCTCTTTTCGATCATGTAGAGGTAATACATATATACACATTTCTTATTAATTCTTTCTTCTAAACTCAATTAAGTGTTGTGTGTATATATATAATATATATATACCCTCTTTGTTGGAGATCCACTTTCTAGAGTTTAACTTGATTAATGACGGATTCAAGATTTTTAGTTTATGGATTATGATTCACTCTTTTTAATTTGCTTATTAAGTCCAATAGATTATTTGTACATACTAAATAAATTCATAATTCAATTACACGATTTGAACCAATACGATGGGGTTCAAGCGAACCTATGACTATAATGGTGGCTCCGCTTGGAAGTGCAAGATGGGATGAGTTGCACTTATTTAATTTAGGGTGTGTTTGGTATCAAGAAAAATATTTTCCTTAAAAATAAGTGATTTTCTTGCTTATTTTTTTGGTGTTTGGTTAGATAGTAGAATATATTTTTAAGAAAATATATAATTTAGGACGGGAGACGAAATATTAAGGGTTGGGAAGGGTGGTAGGCCGGGGTCTAGAAGTAGGTGGGGGTAGGGGGAAGAGCGGGATGGGTTTGGGGAATAGGGTGAGAAAAGTTGGAAAAAAGTTTTGAAAATTATTTCCTCTCCTTTAGGTAGGAAAATCATTTCCCTCCGATCAAAGAAAAATGAGTTCATGAGTAGAATACTTTCAAAAACAATTAACCAATTAAACATGAAAAAAATTGAAAAACATTACCAAACACACCCTTAAAGTGTTTTAATAATCTTTTCCCAAAATCATCATATCTCAGTCTAATTTTTTCGTACTTCAGTTTTGTCATATTTAATATTTTTCTGAGGCTGACATATTGTTATCTGTCCTTAAATATTTTCACAGCTGGAAATTCAAAACTCTTTCGAGAATATATTGGTGCAGAATCAACCTCAGTGAAGCTAACTGACGTACCAATAAACTCCAACGTTGAGTTCCATTTCATATTAGCATTTGCCATTGACTATAATTACGACAACTCAAAACCTTCACCAACAAATGGAAAATTCAACATTTTTTGGGAAAACAATCACCTTAACCCTAAAGAAATCGCCTCAATAAAATCTCGTTACAAAAATGTAAAAATCGCTGTTAGTTTGGGAGGTGACACAGTTGGTAAAAACAAATACGTTTATTTTAAACCTAAGTCCATTAATTCTTGGGTTGATAACGCGGTCTCTTCGTTATCGTCTATGATCGAAGAGTACAACATCGATGGAATCGACATTGATTACGAACATTTTTCAGATACGAACACTAATATATTTGCAGAATGCATAGGACAACTCGTGACAAAGCTAAAGAAAAGTGGAAAAATACAATTTGCTTCAATTGCTCCGTTCGAAGATAATGTTGTCCAAAGTCATTATATGACTTTATGGAAAAAATATGGGCAAGTTATTGACTATGTTAATTTCCAATTTTATGCGTATAATAAGATAGATGTGACGGAATTTGTGAGGAATTTTAATAAACAAGCTTCGAATTATGAAGGAGGTCAGATTTTGGCTAGTTTTGTAAATAAAGGTGGTGGTTTGGGACCTAAAGATGGATTTTTTGAAGCTTGTAAAGAATTAAAAGGACAAGGAAAACTTGGTGGGATATTTGTATGGTGTGCAGATGAATCAACAAAAACTGGATTCAAGTATGAGAAGATGTCTCAGAATTTGTTAGCCTCTTCTTGATCAAAATTTGTGAACGAGTTGAATAAGAAAGTCTATAAGATCAAATTAATTGTTCAGGTT